TACTATATCCATATGATAAGCACTTGCTAAGTTCTAGCAAAGCACTGCAAGTTGTGTAGCAAGTCGTTCTATGTGACTGTAAATCATTACATGTCGTGGTAACATGTTATAACCACATGCATGGGTTAAGAACTTTTGGTGCTACTTATCATTCGGTTATTAATCCATCCTATCTTTTACAAAAGATATTAAATGTTATACATGTTCAGGTGGCACATATAATGACTTAGCTAACCGCTTAAGCAAACCCGCTTAACCAGTTAGCCTTTTATATAACCACTTATGCACATATTTCGCAACCACATAGCTAAGTGATGCTAAGTGGTTAGAGGTCGACAAAATACTGGATTTTGCCAGTTCACTTTGCTGAAATCTTTGGTTTTGAAATTGAATCATGGAACTTTATCGATCAGCCCCAGAGGCTTTCTGCAGAGAAATGAGCAGCCATTGGGCTTCTAGATTTTGTTGATCAGCTCAAAGCTTCCTCTGATGGCACAAATGACAAGCTGTAACTCATGAGACTTTCTGATTAGCCCGCCGGCTTTAGTTTGCAGAAATGATAAGCCCTCGGCTTTCGAAAGTGGGAATTCCAATCAGCCGTTGGCTTTTGTGATTTTTGATTGCACATGCGTAGATTGTTGCAGATTGCATGAATTGCTCTTGCCCGCAAGCTTCGGCTTTGTATATATAGCTTTCCTTTCGCACGAAGTGCTTAGGATTTCTTTGTCCTGCAAGCATGCAAGTGTCTCCATGTGTGAAACAAGAGATGGACGAGATCCTTGCAAAGGAGATGCCCCCGGTTACCCAGTGGAAGGCCGTTCTCGACTTGCTTCTGAAGGAAAGCCTTGCCTGGAAAGCTACCTTGGAGCCCAGTATGCTACTGGTTCATCAATTGAACCGGTCCGGTTTAGGTGTGAATGGCCACAATTGCCATTCGAAAGCAGCCGGCATCTTGAAGGCGGGCTTTGACAAGTCCTACCTCCACTCCAGCTGTTGCTGCTGAGATGATCTGAAGAACTTTGTGTGTAGGAAACTATACCAGTTCTGTGAGTGTCACCATGCATGCATGTTCCCATGCACCTAGGCTTCCAGCTTTCTGAGAATCCCGATCTTCGGGCGAGACAGGTCGCCTTCAATCAGAAACAGGTCGAACAAGCTGGCGGCTTGCTAGCCCCGGTGAACGGCACGGAGAGATACCTCTCGGTCAGCTCAGGACATACGACACAGTTCCTCAAAGCCCTTTGGGCTGGCTGCCGCACCAGCGAGGGTTCGCTTGCCACGAACGGTTTCTTGAGCAAGGAGGTGCTGTGCGGGAAGGACCCTGTCCTCCGGGAGGTGATGTTGCACGGCTGGTCCTGGGTCATCGTCTCTTGGGCAGTCGAAGAATGCTATCCGGATCTTCCAAAGCTTGCGGAGCGAGCTCTGAACTCCAGCAACTCAGCCTTTCAGGCTCAGTCCGAGCGGGAACTGGCCTTGCACATCCTGGATCTCGCCTCAGGCATGCAGCAGCCTGACTTCAAGGCTTTGGCAGCTGAAGCTTGTCATGCCGGCCCCGTGAAGAACTACTCCTCCAGCATAGCCAAGTGGCTTGGGTCCTACAGCAACAAAGGCGACTTCGCCAAGTTTCTAGGGATCTTCACGAAGGAGTTCGGGGACAACTACAATGTTGGGGAGGAGTTTTGGGTCATGGCTGCTGGCAACATGTTTGCTGAAGTGCCTCTGCTGAGGCTGGCAATGCTCGCAACCAATTTCACGGCGCCAAAGAACAAGATCCAGGACGGATATGCTCGGCTCTTAACCCGATCGGACTGGGACAAGTTGAAGGGCAACAAACTGCAGAAGCAGATCTTGGATATGGACCAGAAGCTCTTTCAGGCTTACCAGAAGGTTGAAGCAAGCTTTTCGGACCTGGCAGCCATCAGGGCTTTTGGCATGCGCTTGATTCGATGCTGCATGCACGTCTTGCAGAAGGAGAAGATGGGCAGGGAGACGAAAGTGTTCGAGAGCATGGACGAGATCTTTGAGGCCTTTGAGGTGCAGCTTGGAAACATCAACTTGGCCGCTGCAGCTCCTGCTGCTGCAGCTCCTGCTGCTGCAGCTGCTGCACAGCAGACTGCTTTGTCATCTTCGTCGTCCACTGCGGGTGGGGCAGCCCAACAAGCGGGATTGGTTTCGCTGGGAGAAGCATACGATGCTTTGTTCTTGGCCAAACAGAAGATTGAGATTGCCGTCGGGAAGCACTACACCTACCAGAACAAGCTCTGGAAGCTTCGAGAAGCAGACAGCAACCAGCTCGTGCTGGAGCTTCTTGACTTGTTCCAGAGCGAGGAGGTGACCATCGAGACCAGCCAGTGTTGGAAACACTTGCGAATTTCCAAGCTTCCTGCACCTGTGTTCACCGACAGGGCATTGGCTGCCTCCAGAGAGCCGCATGCGAGTTGCAGTACAGAGGCCCTTATGGCTGAAGTGTGGTTGACCATGCTGAAAGTATGCCCAAAGCTTCAGCCCAAGAACATTTGGAGCTTGATCGGTGTGGTTAACAGCAGCCGGAAGGCTTATGCCTTGAAGAAGATCCCTGCCGGCGAGTTGTGCCTCTTCCCTTCAACGGATGCCATCAGCAAGATCACCACGAAGGCACCCGCTGACAAGAAGAAGAAGATGGGACAGATCAGGTACAAAGAGGCCGATTACTACATCCTCCCCCCAGCCATGTTCAAGACCTCCGAGGATAACAAGGTTTCAGGCTGCATTGCGCCATACTGGTGGTTGGATCCCGTGAAAGAGCCGTGCATGACCTGGGAGGAGAAAAGTCATGGTGGCATCACTGCTTGGTGCTTGGTCAACAGCGAGAGCTTGGATGAAGGAACCTTGCTCACTTGCCCCCAAGCAGAGGAGGCGGAGCCCGAGGCATCGAACATCAAGGCGAATCAGAAGAAATCTGCTGGCAAGAAGTCTGAGCCCCCCAGCAAAAAGCCTAAGAAAGCCTGAGTTTGAGACACTGTCCCATGGACAGCATTTGGCCTATTTGTGTCCAGTTGCATTTTGAAGCCATCGGCTTGCCGGCAACTAAAACTTTTGGAAGCCATTGGCTTGAGAACCACACCCGGCTTGGCTATACTCCCGTGTCCGAGAAAAGTACATAATCCTCTGCTGCACCGAGCATGTTTTTTTTTAGTGCTGCCTGCATTATGCCGCTGCATGTTGTGGGTTGCATGCAAATTCATCGTTCTCTGCAGCTGTGAGTCCTGCAGGTTTGTGAATGTGCAACAGGCATATATAGTCTGCCATGTCGGTGTCCATGTCCACGAGGCATGTCATCAAATACGACGATACCGGCAAGAAGTGGGTTGTCCCTTCCAGCTTGGTTCACCAGGATGACAAGGGCCAAAAGTGGCTTCAGATCCGCTCCAGCAATTACGGGCTGTGCTTGCTTCTGGGATGCTCTTATGCTTCCAGAAACCCATCCTTGAAAGGAGCAGAGGGTTTGACTTATGTCATTGAACAACGAAACAAGCTGGTAGGCTTGGTGCCGGAAGAAGACAAACTCTTCGGCGGCGATGCCGAACCCGCAGATCAGCCTAAAAAGAAAAGGCGACAGGTGCACAACAATGTCGAGGTCATGCAGGTGGACATCCAGCTCCCGGACGACTTCGGCACGATAGTTGTGCGAGCTGCAGAGAAGGTGACTAGCGACCTTCAAGTTCTCATGGACGAAGCTTCGTTGCACAAGCTCTTTGGCTGGATCAAACACAAGCGACTCGCTTTTGATGACCCCTCCAGGCCCTACAGGAAGACCGGGAAGTATGCCAAGAACAAGCATGCTTTGCAACGTGACGATGACGATGAGGACGATAATGAGGAATCTCAACAGAACCCGATTCAGGATATTAACCTATTGTCGAGCGACGACGATTCCAAATAGCAGCTGTACATAGATTGTATATATAGCCACTCGCAGCAAATTTGCTTTCTAGCAGATGCATGCATAGATCCGATGCATGCATGCAGGGGTCGGGGAAATGCTCCGTGCACTTGTTTGTTTCTTTGAGCGAGATTTTAGGAAAATTTCATATGCATCATGAATAAAAAAGCCCAGTGGGCTTTTGATTTGACTTTGCATGGATCAGCCCACGGGGCTTTAAGTTTGAGTTTGCATGGATCAGCCCAGTGGGCTTTCGACTTCATATATTTCTTTGCAGGCAGCATGGATCAGCCCACTGGGCTTTGGACTTCATGTTTTTTTGTATGTGCATGTGCAGTCAATCATGCATGGCCGCCGCGGGACTTGCATTTCCAAGACTTGAAGTCTTTGTGTGTAGCTCTGCATGGTGGTGCATGTTGCATTTCATATGCACTGGAAGTCTTCATTATATAGTATGGATGAGCGAGCTGCCGATGGCATTGGATGTCCCGAAATATAACAGCTCATAGAGCTTGCGATCCAGCCATGTCAGCCATGGCTTCGGAAACCGCCCTGCAGCATACACCTAAGGCCAGTGCCGCTGCTCCTTTTCCCAGTGCAGTGGCAGCTGATGCTGCAGCTCCGGAGCCCATGCCCATGAGCTCGTATGTGCAGAGTTGCATCGATGCGAATGCACAGTTGCACCGAGAGCTCATGGAGATGACTGCCAAGCCTTGGTTCTGGTACAGCGGAACCCTGGTGCTGGATCTGGTGGAGTATACAGAGTCCACTTGGACCGATGCTGAGATGCTCGGGCTTGGACTTGGGCCTTTGATTTTCACCAGCCTTCGGGCTTTCATTTATAGGTTGGGATATAGTAGCAGAAGCCGTGTTAAACATGGAGCTTTTGGGTTGTTGGTAATATGTGCCCAGGAACAGGTGCTTCGAAGCAGCCCGTGGCTTTTACCACCCAGGCGATATCCATGCCAACGGCTGCAGAATCTGGAAGAACTATGACAATGCGAAGAATGCATTCATATGGTACTCCAAGAGATACAGCACCTTCTACTGCTCTGACAGAGTTGTGCTGGATACAGTG